TACATAACTCTGCATTGCTGCGCCATCTTGTCAGTACTCTAGTGGTTTAATAGCTCTATGGTCTACACACGGAACTGGGTGGGAGTGGAGGGCACTTTATTCCACTCGCGGGAGGGCGGACTTTCCATGGATTTTAATGCAAACTTTGCGAAGAGCATTCTTATACGCTCTTGAAGTTCTTTGATTAGATCTACTCTATAACAATCCAAAGAATCCAGAGGTGACGGAACTAGGGGGGGGGGGTGACCGGAAATGATCTGAAGCCAGTTGGTTGTTACCATGCGCCAGTGATGTTGGAGTACGTCAGCAAGATGAAACTAATTATATAATGCATGAATAAAGTTCGGGGCTTGTCGGGTAGTGAAATGATTATTGTACATTTTAAGTGCTCCCTCCATGCATAAGTTTAAGAGAAATTACGCAAATGCAAAAAAAAAAAAAAATGCAAATGCTTTGTGAACGTGAGTACTCATTTTCACAAAGGAATACACAAAACTGGTTAGCTAACAATATGCAAATGTTACACGAACACCTGGGAAGGAAGGTGCAATCACGTTCTGTTGCCTATAAAACGTCTCTACTGTAGCGTGGGGGTGGGGGCTAGCCTACTAATGTACTATGTAGCAGGGGACGATGAAAAATATAACTAAGAATAATTCAGTTGTAGACGTACCTTGTTTAAGTATATACAATTCTAACAATGCGGTTCTTAGCCCTAGCTAGGCAAGGCATCCATGTACAAAGCAGTGGTGTTTGTTTATCAATGAAAAACGCACAAAGGGAAAGATAAGATAAGATAAGAAAAAAAAAGTTTGCCTTACCAGGAAAAGGTGACGTAATCTAGCGTATGATGTATGCATGGCTAACTTATTGTGAGTGTGACGTCACCAAAAAATAAAAATTTGCTATTATAACCAAAAACTACAAGGTTTGTGGGCGAAAATTCCCTTAATACGAATTAAGGGTAGCAGAATCTCCTAGCCATAGACGTTACAGCTCCCACTGACGTCTCAGTCGAGAAATACGGGAAGCTGAAGTTTTTCTCGCGAATCTGACTGCGAAGCCATATCGAAATTTTACGTTCCACTTTCGGAACGCTAAGGGCGGCGTTCCAGAAACCCTGCGTCAAGTGGTGAATATGTTTGTGGTGGTGAAAGTGGCTTGTTGGTTGTATAATTGAAGGTGATTATGATGACGATGATGACGGCGACAACGATTACGATAATGATGGTTGGTGATGATGATGATGATGATGATGATGACGGTGATGATGATGATGACGATGATGACGTGTCAGACACGTACAGCTGGCGAGATCTTTCTTTTTCTCAGATCCTACACGTTGGTATTCGCTCCCAGCTGATCTTCGTAATATCACTTGTCCTCAGTTATTTTTTTTTTTACTCAACTTAAAACCTATACCTATTTTTGTAGATTCTCACTAATCAATTTTCTGTTTTTTTCAAGCGATTCTTCTGCAGATGTTTTTCAACTCTTTCCTTTGCGCCGTCTTTGTTTTGCATTATTATATTATTATGATGACATTCGCGATGATAATGGCGGTGGTGATGGTGATGAATTAAATATAT